ACTTTGCCCCTACCCGTGAGCCTTATTGTTGTGATTTGTGTTGGGGTTGGTTGGGATTTAATTTGTTTCTCATTTTATCCTGGCCATGAGCTTTTTCCTATGGTCCTTTTTATGTTAAGGGTGGTTGGTTCAGGCTTAAATGTGTGGTGGCTTTTTCCTCTTGCTATCCTTACCCGTGGGCCTATGCTGTGGTGGCTTTTCTCTTTTGATTGCCCCTACCCGTGGGCCTATTCTGTGGTGTCTTTTCTCTTTTGATTATCCCTTTACCCGTGAGCCTTAACTTTGTAACCTCTTCATGAAATATGTTGAGCTGGTGGTTCCCCCTCTACTAGTTAATTCCTCTCATCTTGTGAAATATGAAAGGTTCTTGAAACTTTAATTTGGGAAATCATGAAGTCGATATAAGTTGGATTCGTGGATGGATTTGAAAGCTTATAAAAAATGTTTGGAAAGGCAATTTCAAAGTTTGGATAATAGAGATATCATATTTAGGTTCAAACTTGGACAAGTGAGTTCATATGAGTGATGGAGCTTATGAGTACATTGTTATGTTAGTCTTGAGCATCTTAAGTCTGCTTCAATCTATTTGAAATAAAGTTTTGGAAAGGATACCCTTCACGGGTTGATCCAATTATAAAATTTTTTTGAGAAAGTGATATCATTTTTGGATTGATTTAAGGATCTTGGGCTCTCTTTTAGGCTACTTTGTACAGTTTTGAGGATTGTTTCACCCTTTACTCTTTTGATCTTTTGGGTGAATCAGTTCCTCCTCTTTCTCATCCCCATTTTATTCTTTTTTTTCATTCCTTCTTGGTCATTGTTTCTTGGTTCGGTTTTCTGTGCTTATGTCCGGTACATAAGTGCTCATGTATAGTCTTTTGCTATATGTGAAGCCATCAAGCAAGATCGCAAGTAGGTTGGTTTTATTTTGGGGCTTAGGAAGATGATAACAAAGGCACGTCGGTGATATGGCTGAATGATATCTCATCCTACAACATCAAGACCCAATCCTGGGACATGATGAACTGTAGGATGAAAGTATCATTCACCGATATAAGACTAGCGGGAGACCCGTACCTTTTTAGAATGTTGGTGATCCTACGTCCGACGGTGTAATTGACTCGCGAACAACTAATTCTTTCCGAAACTGATAAGAACAGATATAATATTTATAAAAATATTTTCACTACAAAAATTAATCCAACTTTCCTCTTGTATGTCTGAAATCTATATGCATACCAAAAATAATATATTTCAAATATGTATTACAATTTGGTTGTCCACCTGTTGATCACTTGTTTTGGGCTAAGGAGTACCCTCCCAAGTTAGATTTAGTAGGACATCCTTCTAGTGGAGTGTCGGGCTTTATACATCTGGGTGGTCGAGTAGTCTTTGACGTCCCTCGAGTACAAATATATTATATTTGAGCCTAGCCCCAACCTAAGTGCTTGTGGTCCCCTATTTTTTGGATTTTTCGTATGTTTTATCATAATTTTTGGAAAAAACATTCGCGGTCTTTTCTTCAGGATTTCTCCCGAGGTTTTGATAGTTTTATTTGAATTATTAGTCGTCGATTTTCCCGAGTTTTCCACCGTGAATTATTTATTGATTTTCTCGAGTTTTTCCAGGCAATGTTTCTTTTGTTTAAACAGTGAATGCTAGCTAGCTTAAAAGAGCAGCAGGCCTCCTAGATATATAGGTTTGATTTATATTATAGCATTTTATTTCATAGCATTTTTTACTATTCTCCTAACATGTATATTGTTCTTCTAGTACGTTATATCGTTCTCCAGTATGTGATACTGTTCTTTCCCTTTTACTGCACACTCTACTGTCTCTTTTTCATATATGAATACTACATGCTTTATTGTTTTGATACTCACTATACCTTAGTATAAGAAAACTTAGTAGTTATATAGGAATTAACACTGAACCCGAAGGTGCTACGACGAAGAGCTTGGAGCGAACATGGTGGGTAGCACGATGAGGAACAACTTCAAGATGGATCTGGAACATCAAACCACATTCATAACACTGATCACTTTCCTTAGTTTAAATAACAACCCATAGAAGTTCGAGGTGGTTTGTTTAATGCAACGTAAACCCTCACATATCACATTTAGGCTTTTGCACAACTCTGGTTGTGCAATTATAAGTCCTAACGCTTTAGGATTCCGAGGTTACCGTACGTTACGGTGTAAATCCTTCTGTATTTTTAGGCTATTTGCACGATCAGATATCATGCAAATATATGTCCTAAATTCTAAAATAAATTGCAGGATTAAAAGATTAAACAACATCATTTCAAAGGCATAAATCCAAATAATAGATTGGGAAGTCACCGGGGTTTATCCTAGATCTGTGACGTTCCCTACTTTTAGTTCATTTGGATTCTTTAAAATAATTATTCCTATTTTGAGCTACTCTCATTTGATTTTCCTATATCCAATCTTGGAAACCTAAACTTTCAAATTTTGAAGGCAAAACCACTTATCTTAATCGAGAGTTTTCTTAAGTGACCCCGGTCACTTAGGATGTAATTAACTATAGGGGTTTGCCTCTATAGGGAACTTAGAACTCGGATAAAATAAACTCTATTGAATCCTTATGTTAGATAGGGGAACTTGTTGGTCTTATATAAAATATTTCGCAGATCAAACGGATGTCACAAATTCTTTAGTTTAGGTGATTGAGTTCCTACTACAAGTGATATGTTTATTCTTCGGAATAAATGTATTACTTGTGGTATCGCGCTCATTCATCCAACTTATTCAAAACTGTGAGACCCGTTTGATCTCACCTATTCGAAAATTAAAATGTTACCTTCAAAGATTATATTTATATTTAAATTATTTTCATATCTACAAAATTACATCTCTTTTTCAACAAAAATCATTAAGGATTAAAGTTTTAAAATTAAAATTAAAACGGCCGACACACCCATAAATAGTGATGTGTGATGCCCTCAGCTCCTCCACTGCATGAAGATGTCAAATGTGTGAGCCTCCCACTATTCTTGTCCTTCCTCTCAACTCTTCTTTGTCCATATCCATCCACTCTACATCTTGATCCATCCAATGCTAACACTTCGACCCTCAACATTTACAATTCTTCATTCAAGGTTCATATCTCTTCTTACAATTTTGCCAATAGTATGCTTTCCCAATCCCACCCATAAATCTCATTCTTGCTCCCATCAAGGATGCCAATAGTATGCTTTCCCAATCCCACTCATGAGCCTAATCTCTTTTGCACTTTTCTTCCTCTTTCAACACCTCAACAGTTGCTCTAGCTATAAATAGTAACCTACATCCACAACCTCCCAACCCAAAAGCTTCAACACCCTACCTCTGGCTACAAACCCATTTTGTCACATGTATAAACATAGCATGACCACCGACTCAAGCATAACACCAACTACATCGGCTACAACATATATAATTTATGTAAATCATGCTCACCCCATTATGGTATATGTCAAGGTCACTCATACCATTATAACATACAGTAGAGCAGTAGAACAAGCATAATAACCTTTTTAATATAAAGAATATGAAAAATTTATGGAGAGATGTTGTCCGTTCACAAACTCAATGAAGGCATGTATTAAATCTCCTCACCCAAACATGCATATATCTACTCGCAGCCATTTCCATGACATGAATAGTGCCTCACACTAACATGACACGTAGATCTACCCTCAACCATTTCTATGACATAAATAGTGTCTCACAATACCATGGCACCTACAGAGGCAAACATCATTTCTTGACATAATAAAACCAAAGAAAAATGAAGAAAGACACAAAAAAGAGAGCAATTTTTTCAAATCAATTGGAAGATAGACTTGTCTCTCTCTATCATTGAACAAACACTCAACTCAATTAGTATGTTGAAAGCATTCTCACATGTTGCAAGCCCCTTACGTTCCAAATCGGCTGCAGGCGATACCAAAGGCAAGAAACTATTCATCCACAAGCGTTGAGAACCTAGGACACTTTTTACCAATGATAGATTCTAGAGTCACCATCCCCACTTGGAAAAACATCAAAGCGATATGGTGAATTTAAAAGGTACAATGAAGGGACAATCTTTATTTTTTTTTATTTTTTTTTTTTTTACAGGTACCCATGCAAAGCTTTAGAAAAGAAAAAAGAACCTCTTCTCCCGAATCTATAAGATCCTCCAAGATATTAATGGGATCAGGGGAGCTAACAAGCGAACTACAAACTCCTAGCAAGTTGATGTCAAAAAGACAAAAGAAGGTATCTTTAAGATGAAGAAAATGATAGGCTTCTCAAAAAACAAAAAAAATAAAATAAAATAAAAATAAAGCTTCAAGATAAGACTGATACTCCGAAATAATCAAATTTTGCGACACCAAAAATATTTGGGAATTACAAGCAAAGTTTTATTGTAGAAAGCTCCTAATGGCAAACTCAAAAGTTTAGTCATCCGCTTACAAAGTCTTACAACACCAATAAAGAAAGAAGAATTAAAAAAAAAAAAAAAGAACCCCCCGTACAATTGTTACTACAATATGAAATGTGCACTCTAAAATAATTGTAGTCACAGAAAGAAAGACAGATGGAGACCATCTTAGCGTGGCACCTACAAAATAAATCTCAAGTACATCCACCCTCAAAAGAACCTAATGGCACCACAGAAGGTCTAAACCACCATCTATAATCCCTCCATAGAAAATAGTCAATTTTTTTGTAATTTATTGAACTTACTTTTATGGTATCCGTTATTTTTTTTATCACAAATAATTGAGTCATTTGTTTATTTAACTACAGAAATTTAGTTCTGCTAGTTATTTCCCACACTTTTGTATACTTAAGTGTTTCTTAATCTATCACACCTAGCTTTAACTGTTTACAGCTCTGCTAAATGTTAGATACCAGTTCGAATAATGAGATTGAAGCTGAAAACAGTTCAAGCATTGAAGATTCTGCATTAGTTAGAAGCAAATAACAAAGTGAACTGAGAATGCATACCTCTTTAGACTTCAAATCATTAGCTTTTAATTTAGATAGTTCAGATTCCCATAAAAATTCTTCCTGCAATGACAAAAGACAACATTAGAATGTGATGATAATAACCAGTTCAGCATCAAAATAATACATAATTTCTAAGTTTGTCACCTCACAGCGCTCCTGTAAGAGCCTAGATGGAACCAATGAAGAGTCAGCAAACCATTTTGCCTGCATCAAAAAATCATGTAAGAGGTCCAAAGCTTCGTTAAAGCCTGATAGACTATTAGTACTATACTGTTCACCTCAGGTGCATTCAAAAGGACAAGGAGGCGCAATATTTCAGACTACAATAAACATCAGTAAAGGATGCATACCAAATCTTATTAAAGCAAGGTGGTGCCTTAATTTCATATAAACTTCCAACATGTACTAAATTTTATTTAAAAAAGGTGGAGCCACAAATTCTATACAGAATTCTAACCAAATGATAGTTTTTTTTTTTTTATAAAAAATAAAAGATAACCTGAGTTCAAGCTTCCTTATATTTATTGTACACCTCAATCATATCTTTTTTTATTTAAAAAATACATTTCTTTTTCTTGACAACATTTTGTACCTTTTCATTAACCATCAAGTTTCTTAATTTTTGCAAAATCTATCAATCAGATCTACTAGAACTTTTATTGCAATCATCTTAATGTAAATGAAAATTTATACCACGTTAAATTTGGATCAACTTTAAAGTTAAACTTTGTCACTCTTCACACTATCTTTGAGGATTAACCACTCAATTCAACCTTTTAAAGTTCTGCCATCTAATTGCAAAGCAGCTATGTCTTCCCTTCAAAGTATGTTTTCTTTTAGTATGATAGCTTCACAAATATAAGCAAACACTAGTCTATTCTTAATGTTCAATAGTACAAGATCATATGCTACTTGGATATGTAAGTGCTGAAGTAAATTGAATGAGCTAGGCCTAGTCATGTTCTTTCTATATCACTCAAGGAAACAAGAGGCATATGTACAATCCCCTCATGGACCCTAGGCATGCCATCTTCCAGGTGCATGATCAAGAAGTGCAATCCATAATCACCCCCCGCATTGCCACATAAAACCTCTCTAAAATATTTCAAAAAATGAGACTTCCACCATGGGATAAGGCATTGATTACCAATTAAGTTCCATGTCATCATGTACCCTTCCACTTTTTAGTCAATTCAACCTTTAAATTATCCAAAAAGGAAATTCATACAAGCTTGAGCCAAAAAGTAAAAGGGAGTGATATGGCAAGTTATTCATAAAGCCTACAATAACCCGTATTTTCTCAGTTTGCTAGATAGCACCATGCATGCAGAATAAGAAGTTCAAAAAAATTGGTACTTTGGCTTAACTTTCTTATAGAAGAAATCATAGATTCAAAACTAAATCCAACTAAAACAAATTGCATGGCTGTTAACTACTATAAAAACAAATATTTTTATCACGATAAATTTTTAAATAAAGGCATCATTATAAGATATACGTAATCCATCATGAATTATTAATGAAAAATACTAGCATACCATTTTTGTAAGGCGGTTGCGGTACTCTACAGGCATTGTGAGCTGCAAGATAAGATTACAGTGATACAATATGAGAAAAAATCTGACCAACACATTCAACTAAAACACAATAAGAAACGATAATATTTGGAATGAAGATCAAAGTGGTACATCAGCTATTGTAATAACATGAATGTGAAACTTTTGTAGATAACATAGGTAAGAGAAAAATATGAAGTGAAGTATAAAACTATATGTGATGATAGAATAAAGGAGGGAAATAAAGAAAAAAGGATGACAATCAGTCAAAGAAACACTACACAAAGAATATGATTGTTGCAAGGGTATCACGTAATTGTGATGAAACATTTACAATAGGTTTAGGCATTCTCAGTACATTTACAACAAATAAATGATGTTAAAACTGCCGTAAAATGAAAAACTGGTATGAACATAAGTTGGAAAATCAGAGTTGGATGATAAAAGCTTGGGGTGAAGTAGGCAAACAGAGGAGTGAAAGGAGGTAGCAAGCTGAAGAAGCCTCACAACAAGCAAAAACAGCATGACAATTCAATGACATCCTAAGAAAAACAACTATAACATGTACACAAAAATTTAAATTTCCACAGAAAATAATAAACAGACAAAATGACCACTTCGGAGGATTAAAAAAAAAAGAATAATACAGGCATGTTGAAAAACTGAGAAACATAGACAGTAAATAGCCACAGATACATTACAGATACCCAAAACTACTTTTGGTTTAAGAAATAGAGATCAAATAGATAATGAATTAGGGCAGCTTTCATATGAATACGTACAAGTTTAAGGAATAGAAATCCATACACAAAGAAACATGCATTATTAGTCAAAACTTCGCTGACTCCTCACTAGTGACTCTTTAAGGTACTTTGATTCAATAGTAACCTCTTGATGCTCCAAAGTAAGTCTATAACAAAAAGATATAACTGATTCAAAAAGATTTTAGGAACTTGTTTGGAGGTTCCTGAATGATCTATCAATCAAATAAAAAAAAGTATCCCAAGAGTTGTTTCTAGTTGTACATGAATTCTCCTCTCAAAGACTCAAATTAGGTCTTCATCTAGTTCTACAACAAAAATTTTACCATTAGTTTAGGATTACTTTCTTGGTTAACAAAAAATAGGGTGTTGAATGCCACTTTTAAAATGTTGCAAATAACAATTAGAGTTCATTTCCCTTCTCTATGAGTCGCAATCAGATCTAGAACACAGCAAAAAAAGATGGCAAAGGAAAGGGCAATCAGCAGCTAGATAATAGAAAGCATCAAAGGCTGTAAGAGGAAGGAGGGGTGTCGGCCACTCTAAAAGTAGCAGAAAGTAGGAAGGCTGATGCTAAAATTTAGGATGTTGGATAGGCTGGCAGCTATAGAAGAGGGAAAGGAGAAGAAAGAGGGTTTTGAAAGGAATTTTAGTGGATTTTTGTAGCAATAATCAAGCACATATATAGGTAATTTTAAAGCAAATTAAAGTTAAATTCAAGTCAATCTCATCCTTAACTAACAACACAAATCATGCAAAATCCTATCATTCTCAAAAAGACTCCAAAAACACAAGAAACTTTTCTTTGAATTCAAAAATAACTCATTTAGTCCTTTATATAATTGGTCGAGCTTATAAGGCTTTGGCGAGCCACCTCAACTCTATTATCCCTTGATCACCATCCAATGGAATATATTTCTTGCATCCTGGTTATGATCAAGCATCCAAACAACCTACAAATTTTAGCGAACTTGACTACAATCTCAATGGTACAATTTAGGAATCACCACCACTAGCTATATTCATCAACAGATTAGGTCAACAAAATCTTAATGAATTCAATTATTTTTCTCTCTTCACAATCTAATGCCCAAGTTACAATCATTCTTAGTCTAATTAAGCATCCAATAGATATGATCCCCATATCATATTAAATATTGCAATAATAAATGATTGCTTACTCCACCTACAACGACCACCCCAACCCATAACAATGATCAAAAAAACAAATCATTATTGATTAAAGCAAAGGGATTTACATACATACAGCACAGTTCCTAATATATTCATATATCTAGTACAAACACTTTCATACTTATACAACATAAAAAATATTTCAAATCATATAAAATATACCACAAAAAATTAATTTTCCTTAAAAAAAATAAATTCTTATGCACATGTTTTGATGTCATTATTACATCAAAGTGTTATGTTAAGTACATATAAAATTTTTGGTGTTAAATACGTAAATATATAAAAATTATGTGGTGTGTATGTACCCCCTTAAAAGAGATATACTGTGACCATGAAGTAAATTGTGTATTTTTTTAAAGCATAATTTAGCTTCTAAGGTAATCACCAGATTGAAAACTTAAGAATCAACCAAACGCATGCCATAACATTTCATGTTATTAGGCATGCCTCTAAAAAATAGAAAAGAAGCACAAGCTATGATAGTATATCATTCAAATAGCCTACAGGTTTAACAATTTTAGATTTGTGAAGATAGAACAAAAAGCAGCAAAAGTTAGTGACACAAAAATGAATTAGAATTAGGGTAATTTTTCTTTCCTTAATATAAATACTTTTACTAAAATCAGTTATAATACTTTTTACCTATATTTATGTTATTGGATATTGTATTACTGATTCTCTCCTCTTTTGAGTGTGCAGCCTTCTTCTCCTTGACGTGCTATGTACGTAGATTGATTAAGAATAGGTAATGAATCCTCCTCAACGACTATACCTCTACCTAGCAATCGGCTTCTCTATTCTTACTATTTTTCCTCCAGATAGATGTTGCCCCTTCCTCTCCCAAAAACACCTTGATTATTCCATCTCATTTTGATTTCCTTGCACCCATCCAAACTTCCTCCTAGATTCCTAAACAACATCTAGACAACCCCAGATCTAACTCAGTAAGGTTGCTTCCACTATAATTCAATTTTAAGGAAACTTATTGGCACTCAACATGCCAACACCGCAACGTTTGGCAAAAAAGTTAGCATAGTTCAAGAAATTGTCTTGGACACGATTGTTACATAGCATTTTGTGTTTTTGTGTTTTTTTTTATTTTTATTTATTATTTTTTTTTTTTTATGAAGAAGTAAGAAAATTTAGCGTCCCCTCACATTGAATGAGTGCTAAAAAGACCGAGACACTACCATCAAAGAATATATGTCCTTAACATTTGTGCTCGTGGACTAAAAAGTATTCTTCAAAGTCATTATAGAAATGGCTAAATGTTACTATGAAGGCTGTGCATCCTAAACAAATTCGGCAAAAATAAATACATCATCCTAACTCCATGTTATGCACTCCAGAGGAATTCAAAGAGCATCGCACATTAAGTTCCACCTTAAATATGTCAGCATGTAGTTCTTTCATAGCTTTTTCATGCAGAATTGCTTGAAAAACTAAGATAACAATAAAACCTGGATTCCACATGAATCTGATCCTTTTCAGCAAACCCCTAAACTCACAAAAAGGTTCCAACTAAAATTCAGGAAAATTATAGTTGTCATAAAAAAACAGTGGCGGAATATAGCTAAATTGAATATTCTCTTTCAGCTCAGTAAGTAGCCTATT